CGAATTGTAGCGAGTGCAGAGTGGGCCCTTCTAGGCTTGTCAAAGACAAGACGAGCTGCGGCATTCTGAATCATTTGTAGAAGTTTAGTTGCACATGATGGAAGTCCAGCCAGAAGAGCATTGCAGTTATCAAGCCTAGAAATGACCAGGGCCTTGACGAGAAGTTGTGTTGCACGCTTAGTTAGGAAAAGCCTGATCTTCCTGATGTAGTGCAGTGCAGGTCTGTGAAGGTCAGCTGGTCATCAAATTTTACTCCAAGATTTCTGACCGATCTTGATGGTGTGACAGGGAAGATGAGAAGCTCAGTCTTTGCCAGGTTGAGCGCAGGAGATGTTCCTTCAATCATGCCGAGATGTCCACCAGACAGCTTGAGATTCGTGCAGCTACTGTGGGATCATTGGGTTAAAATGAGAGGAAGAGCTGGGTGTCATCAGCATAGCAATGGTAGGAGAAACCATATGCCTGTATGATGTGGTGTAAATGGAGAAGAGGAGAGGTCCAAGAGCTGAACCCTGATGAAGCCCTGTGGTCAGTTGATGTGCTTTGGATACCTCGCCTCTCCATGCGACCCTGAAGGACCTACCTGTGAGATAGGATTCAAACCAGTGGAGAGGAGTGGACAGAAGGATCTGATGATTCACAATATCGAAGGCAGCAGACAGATCCAGGAGAATGAGAACTGATGATTTGGAAGCAGCTTTTGCGATCTGCAGGGCTTCTGTGACTGACAGTAATGCAGTCTTGGTTGAATGCCCTTTCTTGAAGCCAGATTGGTTGACCACCAGCTGGTTATTCTGTGACAGGAAAGATGATACTTGGTTGAAAGCAACTCGTTCAAGTGTTTTTGCTATGAATTATGTATGTGTTATCAGATCTCTCTGGAAGAAGAGATAGTGATATCTCAATGTGATTCTCCTGGATAAATAAAGGAAATAATAATAATAATGAATGGTAGGAGAGAAACAGGTCTATAACTCTCTACAAGTGATGTTTAATGTTGTTTTTTTAAGCAGTTGAGTTACCCGAGCCTGCTTAAACGCTGTAGGAAAAATGCCAGAATGGAGGGATGAGTTGATTATGTGTGTGAGTGCTGGTAAAAGTGTGGGAGAGATGGCTTGTAGAAGGTGTGAGGGGATGGGATCTAGATGGCATGTGGTAGGATGACTGGAGAGGAGAAGTTTAGATATTTCTGCCTCGGTTAGTTGAGAGAAGGTTTTTGGCTGTGGGAGAGGTTAGTCTGGGTTCCTGTGTGTGTGGAGCTGAGAACTGACTGCTGATAGTTGTTGTTTTGTTGGTGAAGAAATTAGCAAGTTCATCAGCAATTAAAGATGAGGTGGGTGGTAATGGAGGTGGACAGAGGAGAGAGTTGAATGTCTTGAAAAGTGTTCATGTGTTAGAAGCGTTGGTGATCTTTTTGTGGAAATATGTGAAGATTTTGCAGCACTAACATCAACAGAAAAGGATGAGAGCAGAGACTGATAAATACTCAGGGCAGATAAGGTCTTTTGATTTGCGCCATTTCCTCTCTGCTGCGCTCTTTAATGACTGATGAGGAACATTAAGATGAAAACTGACATGGAACAATACATCTAACACTAGATACTAAACTGGATTTTGTTAATTAGGGACTCAATGATTTTCTTTTTGGTTCTAATTTGTCAATTGAACCAGAATGTAATGTTGGAAAAGAGTCTGGAAAGAGTCTCACATCCAAAAGCATTCTCAAAGATCATCTGCGCCGCCACTCTGGAGTGAGATCATTCAGCTGTGATCAGTGTATTAAACCTTGTTTTACAATCAATCTTAAGACGCCTTACAATTCATGCTGCTGTGAAGCCTTACTTCTGTTCTTTATGTGGACTGAGTTTTCACAATTGGATTATCTAAAACAGCATGAGCGCATTCATACGTGTGAGACCTTATTGTTTGTTTTCTGAGGAAATTCTTACAGGTTGAAAAGCAAAGTCGAAGCAGTCCTTTCTGTATAATTCACATTCACATTTCTCTGTTATTAACGGATCAAACAGCGCTGACGTGGAAACCAGGAAGAAACATTGTGCCATGAATGAACTATTTAGTGTCCACAGATCAGCAACATTCACCATGGATTTACTGTAGTAACACTACTAACTGTAACCATGGAAGTTTGGCAGGAATAGTAGGCTATAATGCTTTCAAGTAACATTACGTCGGTTTTATTTTGACATTATAAATACAATTGCTGCCCTCAAATGTTAATCTGAACTAAAATAAACCTTTGTTTATAATTACTACAATATTTCATTTCATTTTGTCCAAGGAGCTGTTTTGTTTTATGTTCCTAAGAAAAGTCAAGTATAGCTCCATCATTGCTCAAAGTAAAAAAAAAAATCATACTTTATGATGTTAGTTTTAATAAAAATATAATTAAAAAACTTAAATCAAGGAAATTTCTCTGGCATTTCTTTCTTTTTGCTGTATCGAAAACGTACCGAACCGTGACACAAGTGTATCGTATCGAACCGACCCGAACCGTTGCACCCCTAATATATATAGAGGTGGGTAGAGTATCCAAAAACTGTACTCAAGTAAAAGTAATAATTTTAAAGGTTACTTGAGTAAAAGTAAAAAAGTTTCCAGTGAAAAAACTACTCAAGTAGCTAGTTACTAGTTACGTCAGATCATATATATATATATACATATACACTCACCTAAAGGATTATTAGGATCACCTGTTCAATTTCTCATTAATGCAATTATCTAATCAACCAATCACATGGCAGTTGCTTCAATGCATTTAGGGGTGTGGTCCTGGTCAAGACAATCACCTGAATTTTGAGCGTGGCATGGTTGTTGGTGCCAGACGGGCCGGTCTGAGTATTTCACAATCTGCTCAGTTACTGGGATTTTCACGCACAACCATTTCTAGGGTTTCCAAAGAATGGTGTGAAAAGGGGAAAAACATCCAGTATGCCGCAGTCCTGTGGGCGAAAATGCCTTGTTGATGCTAGAGGTCAGAGGAGAATGGGCCGACTGATTCAAGCTGATAGAAGAGCAACTTTGACTGATATAACCACTCGTTACAACCGAGGTATGCAGCAAAGCATTTGTGAAGCCCCAACACGCACAACCTTGAGGCGGATGGGCTACAACAGCAGAAGACCCCACCGGGTACCACTCATCTCCACTACAAATAGGAAAAAGAAGCTACAATTTGCAAGAGCTCACCAAAATTGGACAGTTGAAGACTGGAAAAATGTTGCCTGGTCTGATGAGTCTCGATTTCTGTTGAGACATTCAGATGGTAGAGTCAGAATTTGGCGTAAACAGAATGAGAACATGGATCCATCATGCCTTGTTACCACTGTGCAGGCTGGTGGTGGTGGTGTAATGGTGTGGGGGATGTTTTCTTGGCACACTTTAGGCCCCTTAGTGCCAATTGGGCATCGTTTAAATGCCACGGCCTACGTGAGCATAGTTTCTGACCATGTCCATCCCTTTATGGCCACCATGTACCCATCCTCTGATGGCTACTTCCAGCAGGATAATGCACCATGTCACAAAGCTCGAATCATTTCAAATTGGTTTCTTGAACATGACAATGAGTTCACTGTACTAAAACACAGTCACCAGATCTCAACCCAATAGAGCATCTTTGGGATGTGGTGGAACGGGAGCTTCGTGCCCTGGATGTGCATCCCACAAATCTCCATCAACTGCAAGATGCTATCCTATCAATATGGGCCAACATTTCTAAAGAATGCTTTCTGCACCTTGTTGAATCAATGCCACGAAAATTAAGGCAGTTCTGAAGGCGAAAGGGGGTCAAACACAGTATTAGTATGGTGTTCCTAATAATCCTTTAGGTGAGTGTGTGTATATATATATATATATATATCAGTGCTTAGCATAAGTGAACACACCCATGCTAAAGTTGAAAAAAAGAGGAATAAAATATCATCTTTTGGAAATTGATCTTAATACCTTAATTTAAAAAATGAGGAAAACTCCAACCTTTAAAGACACCAATTTTCTTTGTAAATTAATAATGTATGGTAAATAAATAAATGTTCTTCCTTAAAATACAGGGTGCAGTTCTAAGTTCGCGATTTCAGAACACCGACTGTTTCTATAGCAAACGGAGGTTCTAACGGCAGCTGAAGTGATGCAATGACTTAACCGGTTGGAAACGGGCTCTTTAACCCTTGTGCTGTCTTCGTTTAGGGGTTAACCAAAGGGTCTTGGTGTCTCCAGAGACCCCAGACAACAAAATATAATTTTGTAACGAAATAAGTTTTTTTTTTTTTTTTACAAATGTAATTTTAATGTTTTCACTCCACATTTGTGCAGTTTTTGGAGGATTTATGATATCCAAAAAGGGCAAGGTTTAAACTGAACTATGCATAAGCTAAAAAACAGCTGTAAATTACGGTACAGTCTTTAGTGAAAGAAATAACTAGTTTTAGGTAAATCTCATCTGAATGGCAAACTATTCCTTTGTCTCTATTTTGTACACATCCCCTCATTGAATTGATGTCTGATTACAGAAATCAACCTTTAATTCACTTAAACCATGAATAATCCAGAGTGATTGTAAGTGTGATGATCATCTGCTAAATGAGCAACAACGACCACAATTCACTCCTTCAGTCAGTGAAGCTCCCACAGCCGTTCATGAGAGTTTAAATGCTGGGGAATATTCCCATCTTCCCACAGGAGAAGAAGCAGTGAGCAGGAGGAATTACTCCAGGAGAAACTACTGACATACTATTGTAAAGATGGAGATTAAGGAAGGACCCTGCAGAATAAAAGATGAAGATACAGAGGAACAAATAGGTCGGTGTGTTTTCCTTCATTCTCTTTAATGACTGATGAGGAATACATCAATACATCTAAAATTAAATACTAGTAGACTCAGTTGTAAACTTTGTGCTAAATTGTTGTATGTGGTGTATGTAAGAATTAACTTTGTGTCTCATTTGTCCTTTTTAAAATTGAATTTAATATGTTTGTTTTAGACCTGATGGAAGTGAATGAAGACAAACATCCTCATTTCACAAATGAAGATGGAAAACTGACATATAAAAATGAAGACAAGCATCTGTTAGAAAAACCTCATAATTTCACAAATGAAGATGGAAATGCAGTCGTTTCAAAGACTGAAGAGAATTTCACACAGAAACAATTTGGAAAATCTGGAGTCAAAGGATCTTTAACCTGCTCTGAGTGTGGAAAGAGTTTCAGACAGAAATCAGACCTTAAAAGACACATGAGAATTCACACTGGAGAGAAGCCTTATACATGCACTCAGTGTGGAAAGAGTTTCATTCGGAAAGAACACCTAAATGATCACTTGAGAATTCACACTGGAGAAAAACCGTTCACATGCTCTCACTGTGGAAAGAGTTACAGACATCAAGGACACCTAAGTGTGCACATGAAAGTTCACACTGGAGAAAAAACATTCACATGCTCTCAGTGTGGAAAGAGTTTCACATCCAAAAGAAATCTCAACTATCATCTGCTCTCTCACTCTGGATTGAGATCATTTAGCTGTGATCAGTGTGATAAAACATTTGTTTTGAAATCACACTTAAGAGCACACCTTAACGTTCATACTGGTGTGAAGCCTCACTTCTGTTCTTTTTGTGGAAAGAGTTTTTTACTACTGCAAACTTTACAAGTGCACCAGAGTATTCATACTGGTGTGAGACCTTATATGTGCTTTGACTGTGGGAAGAGCTTTATTACATCCAGCAACTTAAAAACACACCAGAGAGTTCACACTGGAGAGAAACCGTACAAGTGTTCACACTGTGGAAAGAGTTTCACTCAGCTATCTCATCTACAGACTCATAAGAAAAAACGTTGCCCGAAGTTGTCTAATGAGCAAAGTTCATGTTCAGATCCATCGGTTACAAATAATACACTTACAAGTAAATAATTTGACGTTCAGATTCAACAAAAGCTGGATGATTTGCTAAAATTAGTAGTTAAGTTTGATTGTTTGACAAGGTGAACCTTTGGGGTAGGTCAAATTAATAGTTCAGAAAACTAGTGTGTTGCCATGAAACAATTTGTGAAGAGATGTGTTTTGTTTCTTTGTGGAGTTTAATTAAAATAATCATTTTCTCTTGCCCAACAATCTTGGGCATTTCAGGTGAACTGTAAGCTGTAATTCTGTACCTTGTACATCGTTACAAAACCATTAATGGTTGACTTTTTAATGTTGTATTTATATTTTAATGCACACATACCTAATTTGCCAATAAATCAGTTTTATCAATTGCAATAAAGAATTGAAGCTAATGGGAACATTGGAATAAGAAACATAGTGTCTGTAATTGGACACACACCCCACATTTATCCAGCACTTTAAATGTTATTTTTAATGTGATGACCAAGAACATTATTTGTTCATTCTTCTGAGATTATCTCCATTTGTCAAACCGAACGATTAAAGATGTGGGAAATCCAACATTAAACAAAAAGAACTGTAATTTAAAACTAAAACGGACATTATTTGGCATTATAACCAGTGCTCATCTGATGGCGACAGATGAGCATTTATTATTTTATTAGCCATTTTCTGTAGCCTAATATTTTTTCATGTTTCGCTTTTGAATAAATATTAATGACTAATTTATTGTCTTCTAGTACATTACTTTTATTGATATAATTGTAAATATCTATTAAAATAGTGATATTCTGGTCTATAACTCCACCCCGAACTTCCCGCTGACCTGTATCTTGCTTTCTCATTGGCTGTAGGTCATCGCTGATGTAGTTTTCAGTCAAACACATTTCACACAGGAGGATTTTGAATCTCAAATTTAGCATGCTAAATATCTCACAAGCATCAGCGACTCGTCTGCGATTCTCTGAGATCGCGTCTTTGATAATTCACACTGAGCTGCAACTGTCTTATGGTCTTTTTAGGAAGGCCAGTGAGGAGGCCATTACAATAATCCACCCTGCTGGTGATGAAAGCATGCACAAGTTTCTCTAAGTCTTGACCGGAAACAAAGCATCTAATTCTTGCAATATTTTTCAGATGATAGAATGCTGATTTAGTTATTGCTTTGATATGACTACTGAAACTACGGTCTGACTCTAGAGACACACCAAGATTCCTGACTTGATTTTTAGTTGTTTGACCCCTAGCGTCAAGGTATGCGTTCACCTTGAGAATGTCATCTTTGTTTCCAAACGCAATGACTTCAGTTTTGTGACTTTCAGCATTTACCACTTTTAGGAGATCTGCTTCTAAGCTGTTTAACGCACTTTTGAAAAAAGAGATGTGGGAAGTGCGTCAAGGGCGCAGGTTGATGTTTAAGGTGCTGTACAGTTTCTTCCAAAATTTTGCCATCAATTTCTTTGAAATCAGACATAGTAACTGCATTATCAGGTTGTGGTCTGATCTGTCTGACCCCAGAGCAACTCAAGGTTGTGTTGATCACCTTTCTGATATTATTGATTTTCTCAGAAAAGAAAAGCAAACTCACTGCACTCGCTGTCTGAGAATCTGGCTTGGGGGGTTTATCAGTCTCTCTACAGTAGCAAAAATGGTGTGTGTGTGTTGTTTAAGTTGATGTTTATAATATTTGAGAAGAAAGTATGTCTAGCTTTGCCTATATTAAAAGCATGGATGCTGTCTTTGTAGAGGTTATAATCGACTACAAGTTTTGTCTTCCGCCACATACGCTCTGCTTTTCTGCATTGTCTTTTCATATTTCGCACTGCTGTTTAGCTTCTCCAAGGTGCTTTTTGTCTACCACTCTTCTTCCTGACTTTCACTGGAGCAATTATCATCAACTACATTTAACTTTTGAGTTAAAAAAATCAAGTAGAAAATCAACAGAGTCAGCAGATATACTTGGCGTTAAAGATAAAGCCTTCATAAATAGTACACTAGTGTTCTCATTTAAGCATCTCTTCTTGTCAGACACAATTCTAGCTTCAATGGCAGGAGAGATCAATATATCAAAGAAAATACAGAAATTAATAGACGGTGTTACATCCTTAATAACAATTGATGAAATGTTTAGACCCTTACTGATAAGTAAATCTAGAGTGTGTCCACGATTGTGTGTAGGTCCATGTACATGCTGAGTACTGGTCTATACTGAGTAATATTGGTTTCTAAATTATCTATGTGAATGTTAAAATCTCCAGTAATAGCAAAACCGTCAAACTCTGAGGTAATTGTTGATAACAGTTCTGTAAATTCCTCAGCAAAGGCTGGAGAGTATTTTGGAGGCCTGGAAATAATAAGTAAAATGCATGGAGCACCTTTTAACACAATACCCAGATATTCGAAAGACGGGTAATTCCCAAATTATATTTGCTTACATTGATAGACATCTTTAAAAAGAGCAGTTAAACCCCCGCCTCTCTTACCCGCTCTGCAGACACTCATAAAAGTAAAGTTAGGAGGGGATGATTCATTGAGGACTGCTGTACTGCTGCTGTCTTCTAGCCAAGTTTCATTTAGAAAATAAAATCCAGGTTGTATGTGGTTAAGTCGTTGACTAGAAGTGGGAAGTGACTAGTGGGGGCTCTCACAAGAGGAGGGTGAGGGCAAGCTGGGCCAGCAGGCTTTGGTGGTTGTGGGGCCTGCCGTTTTCTGGTTGATATCTGGGGGCTTGCAGCATAAGAGTGGGATAGTGGGCTTCGAGCATACACTAGTTCTTCCACTTTTTTCTATGAAGTGGAGATGCTGGAGAGAGGGATAACATGTCTGGTGAGAGGGGCTGTTGCTCTGGTGTTATCGAAGGCTGTAATATGCTGTCCTGGTTTCCCTGGCTGTTTCCCAGAAAGTCGTCCTTGGGAGCTGAATCTCGGAGCAGTTCTAGTATGTCCCGGTCTGTCTGTGGAGAGCTCTGTGGGCGGGGCTCTGCTGACATTGTGTCCGTGAGCAGAAGTTGTTGTGGCTGAGTGGTGTTCTCATTGTCTTTGTGTGATTTGTCAACCGCATGTCCATTCAGGTGCTGAAGTGAAGTCCTGTGGTCATTCATACTGTGTCCAGGTGTGTGTGTGCCATTCAGGTTGAGTGGATTGGCACACACTGCAGAAGGATGATGGAGGGAGAAGTAGATATTGTCCTTTAGCACTCTTGAACCAAGTTTGTTTGGGTGGAGCCCATCCTGTTGAAACAGTTGCCTCTGACTCCAGAAAAGATTGAAGTTGTCAATGAAGTTCACTCCTTTTATATTGCAGTTTTTTGTAGCCATGTGTTAAGCCCAAGCAACCATGAAAACCTGTTTGTTCTTCTTGCTTGGAGTGGTCCACTGATGAATGTTTGAACTTTTGGTCTTTAAGTGTTTCAAAAAGTTCATTGAAATCCTTCTTAAATAGTTCTAAATGATCTTTATAAATATCATTATTCCCCACATGAATGATGAGTCGATTTGCAGTCTTATGTTTTATCAGAATGTTCTGAAGTTCCCTGTTTACATCAGAAGTTGTTCCTTGTGGAAGGCAGCACGTAGTTGTATCCCTGCTAATAATGTTTCTGATTATGGAGTCCCCCACTATCAGAGTCCTGGGCTCGGCTGCGCTCTGAGCTGAGTGCCGCTGTCTGCTCGACCTTGAGTGCCAGTTAGCAGTGTTAGCTACTGGCTGATTCAGTCTGTGTTCGATCACATTCATCACGTTTGGGGATTCCTCATTCATTAATACTTCAAATCTGTTCTCAAGATGTATAGGTGGTGGTAGGAGACCAGTGTTTGCAATCCTTGTCAGAGCCGTATCTGGGGTAGAGGATGCTACTGCAGCAATATGTGATGCTCGTGACAATCTAATGTCTCGAGTGCCTTTTGGGTCTCGCTCCCTGTTTGTGCCATCGATTTGTAAGTCGATCTGCTTGTTTCTCTACACTCAGTATGGCCTGTCGAGGAGGACTAGATTCATGGGACTCACCGGCTGTATGCTGAGGGCGTCCATGACGCAGCTCTGTTGTGTGGTCCGTCTGGTTTGGTGGTCCCGCAAGTAACTTTGTTTCAAGAACTGCAATCCTTTGTAAAAGTCTGTGGCATTTAGTGCAGCAAGTAGATTCCAGAAGAGGCATTTTCTCTTATCTTTTTGAATGTAGGCAGTTGTGTTTTCCCTTCCCTGGTATGTAAGCTTTCAGTGGGAGGCTGGACGGATAAAAGAATTCTGCTTTTTTATAATAATCCAAGCGTTTGAGCACTGTGCTTATTTGCTGAAGTTAAAAGCAGGTGATAAAAGGAGATTAAATATAAAAACGATAGAGCAAAGTGCGGAGCAGTAAGCAAGAGCGTCCGAACAGTAGCGGAGCAGGAAGTGGAATGAGAATTATGCCTGTATCGTATTTGTTATGATCATGATTGGAGAACGAAATTGCAAATGTATTGCTTGTGAACTTGCAATTTAAATCTCAATCTAAAAATATGAAATCATGCAGATGCTGTGGAAATTGCCCTTCGATTGACAAACAGTGTGCAAAAATATTGTAGATGGTGAAAAAAATGTTATCTCTAATCATTTCGGATAGCTGCATCATGCTATGCTACTATTTAAGCTAACTAAAAAAAAAAACATTAAGAACGGGAAATGTTTAATGTCACAATCTATAGCTTCGGTTATATACTAGTATATGAAACGTACAAGGTAAAAGACATTAATGGTAGTTATAACATAGTTCAAACGACTTGTATAATAAAGTGATTTTGTCTGATTTGTAACCAGGCAGTAAAAATTACCCATAAAACGTGCTTTGAACCAATCGGATTGCTTGGGTAAGCTGGGACTCAGCACTTCACCGCAATGGCACTTCTCGTAAAGAGTAGGGGTGTAACCCCAAGTGTCCTGGACAAATTCCATCTGTTGGCCCTTGCCAATCATGTCCTTCTAATAATCCCCATCCATTGAATTGGCTCTATCACTCTTTCTCCTCTCCACCTATAGCTGGTGTGTGGTGCCGTCGCATCATCCAAGTGGATGCTACACACTGGTGGTGGTTGAGGAGAGATCCCCTGATATTACATTTACATTTAATCATTTGGTAAATGGACAGCATTTATATAGTGCTTTCACAGACCCAATGGCCACCAAAGCGCTTTATATATTGCCTCACATTCACTCACTCATTCATACACCGACGGCGGTGTCAGCCATGCAAGGCGCCATCCAGCTTGTCGGGAGCAGCTGGGGTCAGGTGTCTTGCTCATGGACACCTCGACACTTGATCAGGTGGAACCGGGATTGAACCACCAACCTTCCAGCTTGTAGACAACCTACATGAACCACTGAGCCACTGCCACCCCATTTAGCAGATGCTTTTATCCAAAGCGACTTACAAATGAGGAGAGCAATAGAAGCAGATAAACTAACAATAGGGCAACAAAATGTAAGTGCTATGACCCTTCCCAGTTTAGTCTTGTATAGCAGTTTATGCAGTATATATATATATATTTTTTTATAGATATAAAGTAAAAGAGAAGAGAACAGAAAAGAAAGCATTAGTATTAATGGATCAAGTGTTGCTGAAAAAGATGTCTTCAACCGTTTCTTGAAAATGGCTACGGACTCAGCAGCTCGGGTTGAGATGGGCAGGTTATTCCTCCAGCAGGGAACAGTCAAGGTGAATGTCCATGTTAGTGATTTTGTGCCTCTTTGAGATGTAAAGCACTTTGGGTGTACAGTAGTACATATGAACACGCTATATAAATGCCTAATTTCATTAATTTCTTTTCATCTCTGCTCTAGGGGTGTAAATCGGACAGTTTATAGGCTATCGATTGATTTATCGATATCTAAATTTTATGTGCCAAGTTTAAACAAACAGTTACATTTTTATTTACTCACAAATGCAACCAAAATATATAACATGAACGTTTAATTAAACTCTGAAAATTGCATTGGGACATATACAACAGAAGAGTTCTTTGCAAAAACCAATAACTCCGTTCTTGCTGATTTTCATAAATCATGTTTTTTTTTTTTTTATTCCAAGTGCATTCCAAATAATATCAATCAAACTGCAGCTGGGTTGTTTGAAGTAATAACAAAAAAAATACAGGTAAGTTTCTAAATTAAAGTTCATTAAAAGTATGTTTTTTAGCAAAAGCTGATAACTCCTCATTTCATGTTTCAGAGTTAACCAAGTAATTGCTATAAGTTATTGCAAACACTGTTGTCGGATAAATGAACGGCCAGAACACATTAAAAGTTTACTGTTTTCTGTTGAAACGGTGTTGTGTAAGCGGCCCCTAAGTTAATAACTAATGATCTTTGCAACGGAAGTGAATCAATCAAAACTAACTTTAGCTGAACAGTAACTTTATTCTAGAGCTGCTGCAAATCCAAAACAATCTCTGTAACTTTAATTTCCTATTATCACTGTAAAGCTGCTTTGAAACAATCTATATTGTTCAAAGCGCTATATAAATGAAGGTGGCTTGATTTGACTTGATATATAATAAAACACTGGGTTCATCTTTGTAATGTTAATCTCTTCAGCTGACATAGACGCCTGACATACTTCATTGTGTGATTACACGCAATACAGGGAGCTTTCCCTCACCACTGTAACATGCTGCTTTAGCAAGGTTATAACCCCGAAGAAGATATCTCGGGTTCATCAAGTTCGTTGAAATTATCCATCCACTCCTCTCAGCTATTGCATCTTTTCAAAGTGACTAGCACCCTGGTCAGCCACCTGACCTAAATAGTGCGTGCTGATTCGTTAAAACGGACTTATCGGGTTATGTTCAAGGTTGCTTGTTGGTTTCTGCTGTAAAACATGAACTTGACAGTGGACAATACCGGCTTTTGTGACAAAACTTGTTTAGGGTTCAGTCAATCTTGTCAGGCGTCTATTTCAGATGAGGAGATTAACGTTACAAGACAGTATGATGAGTAAACGAAAATGTGCACTTTGGAGGAAATGCGTAGAGGGACGTTGCGTGAGGATGTGGAGAGATAAATAAAGGTAACATACAGTAGAGGTAAAAAAAGGTACCTCATATCGATATTTTATGTGTGGCATCAACGCATCTTATCGTTAGACGTTTGATCGATGCATCGATCCATTTGGATGTATTGTTACACCCGTACTCTGCACTGGCTTCCACTCGCTGATCGCATCAAGTTCAAGGCATTGACGCTTGCTTACAGATCTACCACAGGCTCAGCCCCCTCCAACTTTCACTCGCTCTTACGAATCTACATCCCTACCAGAAGCCTACGATCGGTCGATGAGCGACGGCTCGTGGTACCATCACAGAGAGCCACAAAATCACTCTCCAGAATATTTTCATTCACTGTTTCTTGCTGGTGGAACGATCTCTCCACCTTCATCCGGAATGCAGAATCCCTGACAACATTCAAAAGACAGCTGAAAACTCATCTCTACTGTGAGCACTTAACTTCATTAAAAAATAAATTAATAAATCAATTCTATCCTTTCCTTCTATCCTTTCCTTTTGCTTTAATCCCTTCCTTTTCTAGTTTAGCTACTCAAAGCAATGTCTGAAACTTTGTATTTTCTTTGTAAGAGCACTTCTTACATAGTTTGCCTCTTCATGATGAATCGCTTGCTTTATTCCTCATTTGTAAGTCGCTTTGGATGAGTGTGTCTGCTATATGACTAAATGTAAATCTTCCCACAGGAGAAGCAGAAGCAAGCAGGAGGAATTACTCCAGGAGAAACTATGGACATACTATTGTAAAGATGGAGATTAAGGAAGAACCCTGCAGAATAAAAGATGAAGATACAGAGAAACAAATAGGTTGGTGTTTTCCTTCATTCTCTTTAATGACTGATGAGGAACATTAAGATGAAAACTCGCATATAACAATAACATCTAAAACTAGATACTTGTAGAGTCAGTAGTAAACTGGATATGTGCAAAATTAATAAACTTTGTTTCTCATTTGTCCTTTTTAAAATGAATTGAATTTGTTTATTTTAGATCTAATGGAAGTGAATGGAGACAAACAGCATCACTTTCAAAAACCTCATTATTTCACAAATGAAGATGGAAATGCAGTCGTTTCAAAGACTGAAGAGAATTTCACAAAGAAACAAGCTGGAAAATCTGGAGTCAAAGGATCTTTAACCTGTTCTGAGTGTGGAAAGAGTTTCATACGTAAATCAAACCTGAACTTACACATGAAGATTCACACTGGAGAAATGCCTTATACATGCATTCAGTGTGGAAAGAGTTTCATTCACAAAGGACACCTAAATTATCACATGAGAATTCACACTGGAGAAAAACCGTTCACATGCTCTCAGTGTGGAAAGAGTTTCAGGTGCAAAAGCATTCTCAATAATCATCTGCACCGTCACTCTGGATTGAGATCATTCAGCTGTGATCAGTGTGATAAAACATTTGTTTATGAATCAGGCTTAAGAGAACACCTTAAAGTTCATACTGGTGCGAAGCCTCACTTTTGTTCTGTATGTGGAAAGAGTTTTTCATATCTTGGATCTTTAAAAGAGCATGAGCGTATTCATACTGGTGTGAGACCTTATGTGTGCTCTGACTGTGGAAAGACCTTTATTACATCAGGTGCATTAAAATCACACCAGAGAATTCATACTGGAGAGAAACCGTACAAATGTTCACACTGTGGAAAGAGTTTCACTCTGTCAGGAAACCTGAAAGATCATGAGATAGTTCATACTGGAGAGAAACCGCACCAGTGCTCTTCATGTGGGAAGAGTTTCAGTCATTTATCTAGTCTACTGAAACATGAAAAAAAACATTGCCCGAAGGTGTTTAAGTGAGCAAAGTTCAGATCCATGACTTGAAAATGATTTGATATTCAGATTAAGCAAAAGATTGAATTACCTTAAATACAGTAATTTAATCGAAAATTAGTAGGAGGAAGGTTAAAATGTTTTTTTTTTATTGCATTGTAAGTGTTGCATGTGTTGTTCTTCCGACACCCGTATTGATCCTCTGTTGTGTTGCACATGCGCAGTAAACACTGAGTGTTACTGTATACAAGATGAACTGAACAGTAAAGCAACAATGTGAAAATACTCGTGTCAGTGTCATCGCTCAAGCAGTGCATGGTCATCTCATACAGATAAAATTATATTTCAGAAAACTAGCGTGTTGCCATAAAATTACACTCTAAAAACTGCTGGGTTGAAAACAACCCAATTTGGGTTATTTTATAACCCAGCTGCTGGGTCAAAAAGGGTCTCACCCAGCGCTGGGTTATTTTAACCCAACCAGTTTGGTTATTGATTTAACCCAACATGTTGGGTTATGTTTTCTACCCACAGTTGGGTAGAAATTACTAAATTGTTGGGTTGAACTAACTAAACAATGGGTTGAAGAATACAACCCAAATTATGGGTCATGGGTATCATTTGGATTAAAAATGACTTTTTTCAATTAACCTTTGCATTATGAAAGCAACTTGTACAGTTATTTTATAAAATTAAAGATAATATTCAAAACATTATATCAATGCATGTTTGTATTTCTTATTTACCAATTAAAAGATCTTCAATTGACATGAGTTGGTCTTTAAAAATATATTTATTCATTTCATAAAGAATTTACAATTTAAAATGAATTCATTAGTAATTCATTAAAAATTAAGTTCAAGTTCATTCATATAGATCATTTACAAATTCGCCCAAAGTGCTGCACAATATCAGAACCAGAGAACACCATTTAAAAACAATAAAAAGTATATAGTTAATAAAACAAACAATAGAACAAATATTTAATGCAAGAATGCAACAAATTTACAACAATCATGAAAATTCATGGGGGCGGGGGTTAAATGGAATTAAATTGAGCCCGGAGAATTTTGACCTCATTTGCCTCTTGTCCGGGGATTTCAAAGAGCGCTGTTTGGATAAACTCCCAAACTTTGCTGCAAACTTTGGGGTATGCGATGTCAAAAACAAAAAAAGCCTTAAAGCAGACATCTACAGCTCCCAGAAGGGAAGGGTGCTCCAGAGCCGTCCCATTGATGACAACAAAACCCTGGGAGCACTGATGCCCGTCCCCCAACATGAGTACAAAGGGGTACTCTGTGGGTGCCTTTATCAGGTATTCCGCCAGGTTAGTTCCAACCTGTAAGAAAAACAAAACAAAAGGAAGTTGTTTGAACAGGTCAGGTACTTGTAACAGCAACAGCAATATCACCAGAGTTGTCATGATTTTACTTAGCTTCATAATAAGTAAGAAAAATAAATTCAGGTAAAAATCATTGTAACTTACAGGCTGAACATCAATAAAAGCCCTTCTGAGCTCAAGGTGGCTGAGGCGGCACAGTTTTCTGCCAACCTTCTATACCCCGGTTGGCAGCAACACCGGGAGCAGCTGCAACGCAACCTCCCCTTGTTTGTCTGTAAAATATATATGATAGATTCATCAGTCAAATACAACAGTACATTTATCTTATGGTTGGAGGGAGGAAGATTTTTCACAATATAGGAAAAGTGGGTAACACTTATTGTTTTCCCTGGTAACTAACCAGTAGTCCCCTAATAAGGCTGAGTTGGGTGTTCACCAGTAAGTACTGGTTAACTGATTAGTTCCCTAGTAAGTAACCAGTATAGTTCCTGCTAGTTCATCTGGTAACACTTTACAATAAGTGACACTAGAATGCTTAGTTACTAGGGAACTCCTTAGGGAACTAATCAGGAACTAATGGGTAGTTCCCTAGTAACTAAGCATTTTTTGTGTACCTTATTGTAAAGTGTTACCGAAAAGTGTTCGTTCATTAATTGTTTGCAATACAGTAACAATAAAAAATGTATAAGCAGAAGAGAAGTCCCAGTGTCCCACAAGCGTAAATCTCAAATCAACATTCTACAAATAACATTACCTGCTGAAAGAAGATCAATGTTTTTTGTGATCTCTGTTTTTTCCTTTTGTGCCAGATTGATGATCTTTGGGGCGAATAGTGTGTTCCAATTTGCTGTCAATTTGTCTGGGGCCTCGGGCTGCAGCATCACAAAATCTTGGGATATCTAAGTCCAGGAAAAGTGCAGGAAAAGTCAATGATTTAGTAAGCAATGGGGCACAAATATTTAACAGGGTCACACATACGATTTGAGATGCAAGCTCACCATTCCGGGCATGTCCACTAGACGTGGAAACTCCATCATTATGTTCACCACTGCCTTTGTTCCATTTGCCCGGATCCACTTGGCCCTGTGGATGGCCGTCTCCTCCATGTAAGCAGCCATCTGGCTTTGTGGCCACACATTACTTTTCAACCACTCGGTTAACTGGACCGCCCGGTCCCCGCTTATAATTTGTTCTGTCATCAGCAGAAAAATCAATCAATTCCAACAAGCAGTGATCGATTCCAAATTAACTTGTACACTGGTATGTGGAGATCTAGGCACCCTTCTGAGGATTCATATCTCTACCTACTGCAACATTGAATGTCTGTTTGAAAAGCACTCAGTACTCAGATACAACCAGAAAATAAATGCTATGAAATTTTTTCAGGAGTGTAAATTATCATAAATCTTCAGGGCCCAGTATTTTAAAATCTGAAATCCACATCAAAATGATCCGGATTTCTAAATCCCATCCTGATCCATGGATCAGAGTTCTCTGTCAGTATTTCAAAACTTTGCTAGATTAGATTAAAATGATCCTGATCCTCTCAGATAGAGATTTCCAAATCCATACCGCCCCCAGGATCACAGACAGGAAACAGGAAGTGAGGTGTAATTTAGAATCTAAAGGCAGTGAGTTCAATATAATTCCTTCAAACGTACAAAATAAAAGTCATAAGCTAGTTTTCTGTTGCATAAAGTCAGTGTTTGCTCAGATTCTCTCAGCTTAAGATCAGATCTCAGTGAAATCCAATCCACCTGGATTAATCCTGGTGGATTATGTTTGAAATACTGGGCCCAGGAGTGCCAAAACTTTGGCATGCCACTGTAGGTCAAGTCCAAAAAGTTATTTAAAACAGCATTGAAAATTACTTCTATCTACTCTCAGTTGCATTGATATTAACTGGATTGAAATTCAAGGGCAAGACATCTTACTGTACCTGGTATAATCCTTAGTGGCTTTTGTGGCACTTGTGCTGCTGGCCCCCGCTTGCCACTTCGGATTCTTTTTCGGACATTCCGGAGGCGCTCCTCCAGGAATCCCGTGGCAGGTTTATGGTGCCTCCCAGGGGTAAACTTTGCATCCTCAAGTTTAGAAGGTAGAAAAGGAATATATTTAGCTTGACATACCACCAGAATACCAGTAAGTATTTTTTTTATTTCAGACGCAAAGGTGGTCTGTAACAAACAGACAGACAAAATAGAGTAATGAATACTATAAATGTCTCCCCAGTGCTTTCAGACACTACTCTGATAAGGTGTAATAAAAACGCCCAGTTCATTTTTTGAGTCCATGACTGTCATTATATGCCAGCTATAATTTCTTGTATTTGGCTGTTGTCTATTTCCACCACAAGTGATCAGTTTAGACTAAGTTTATACAATTGGCTTTAAACAAAACTGTTTTAACAATATGACTACACATTCCAAATTCCCGTGCAACTTTTTGTGAGTGTAAAATTGTAATGAGGATAATAACTTTATACATAGCCTGTGCCTTGGCAGTCGCGCAAGCTTGTGAACTGGTCCACTATAGCCTTTGCCAGCATTGCTTTGGCTCCTGAATTTGGACTGGACAAGAACAGGAGTTTAAAATTTTGGGTGTGGCAGTTCTGTTTTATATACAAGATCTGTCTTGTTTATTCACTTATGTGAAACACCTAACACTCTGAATCAAGATAGAGAAGAGAGCTGAGAGTTAAACCAGAGGGAAAAAATTTGAAGTACCTAACCTGAGCATGATTATGGTAGATATCACGATCAGCTATGGCAATAGGGACTAGTTGAGTACAAAAAGTAAAGGGATAATAATAGGCGCTTCAAGGAACGAATGAAAATAGTTATCAATACGAACAAAGGTAACAAGTAGCTGCTTACGGATGGGGTCAGGGTATTGGAAAGGGGGATAGAAAGTAGTGATCTTACTTTTCTCCGTAACGTTCAATTAAGTGAGAGACGAGGATCCAGACCATCAATCTCCTCTCAGATATGGAAACGTGCTTGTGTTCATCTAGACTCACAACCAAGCTTTTCCCTTCAGGTGTCTTATTGAGGACTTCACGGATATTCTGCCAAAAAAATATAAATGTAAAAAAGAAGGTGTTAACTCTGAAGTTAACCACACTTAGTCTCCCAATGGTCAATGCAGTTTTAGTCTTTTTAACAAGTGAACTTACAAATGTTGCTCCAAGCTCTTCAAAAACATGGGTAGTGGGCTCTAATGGCAATTCCAGGGCTGGAGTGGCACCAGCCGGTTCAGTTTGGGGGTTTGAATCCTTTAAAGAATGTAAAAGAAATAATGACTATTGCACCAAGGTGAAATGTAGACATGGAATAAATTGGTTAAATTGTTCTAAACAAAAAAGGTTAAGTTGTAAGGTACTTACAAGATGCATTATATGTGTTACCGATAATTCCACGGCAGTGAGATTACATATTGTATTGAACATCATCAGAAATAAATGAGGTGGCAAAAGGACAAAGCTATAGACAAAATGTAGTTAAGATCAACTAACTATATACAATATTCCTACAATGCATCTTATCTAAAATAACTTGTATCTCAAAGAAATGTAGCGATCATTGCAACTCTTCTTGTGGGACCTCATGACATGTAGTGGGTGATGGTCA